CTACTCTTGTGGCCCAAACCCGTGAATAAAATTGCGGGGTGGGAACTACCGAAAAAGTGCCGCAGAATTGAGGGCTATAGGTAGGGGTAGGGTTTGGGTTAGGGTTAGGGTTTAAAGGCCTCTTCTTTAAACTTGTTTGTGTTTGATGGGGCGGTCGCTCGTTACGGAAGTCCTTCCGGTGGTTGGATTATGACAGCTCGCACAGAACGCCAAGGGCCAATGTAACATGATTCTAGAAAAAACGCAAGGGGGGGAATCATGGAAACTGGCCGTTTGTCCAGGTGGCCGTCTTATACACTAGGAGGCTAGGGCAGGTTCGACTGTAGATCTAGATTTAGATATCTAATCTAGATCTAGATCTAGATATCTACATCTAGATTCTAGTCTATCTACACTAGATTCTACTACACTGTCTAAAAAATATCACTGTCGGTGCCACTGTCACTTACTCTTACAACTTCCGAGCTTAATCTAGATCTAGATCTAGATCTATTAATTTTTCTCCTTTTCTGTCCAGGAGTCAATCTGCCAATAGACCCCCCTCTGCGACGACGTGGCATTTTGTTGAGAGATTAGATCTAGATCTAGATTCTAGATTTAGATCTGGATTCTAGATCTACATCGAACTCGTGAAAAGAAAGACGGACTTCCAACGGCCGGTGCAGCACTAATGCGCACTGCTATTGGATCCGAAGCCTCACTTGACACTTGTTTACAATGGCAGCTAAGAAGACCGACTTTTTCAAGATTAGATCTAAACGAAACTAATTAAAAACTGAAAATTAAATTACAGTGACTTCAGACTCCTTAATATTACTGTGCACCCTTTAAATGATTCTGAACAACTGTCATTTTTTTCCACATTCGAAAGTAAAGTGGTTCAGAAGTTTGGCACTTTCACAAGTAGAATACTACTACTACAAGATCTAGTAATAATATCATAATTTATTAATAATCCCTCTTTGTAGAAATGTAGTCTAGTTTTCTATTGTACGAATCCTCTTTCTATAGGGCCTACTGCTGAAACTGCTACACACCATTCACATCCGGTTTGTCTTCTCGCAGTTTGAGAAGTTCTCTGCCAATCTCACAGAAAGAATTCTATCTGTGGCCAATCTCTGTTTCTCACGAAGTCGAGGATTGTTACTGAGACAACGCTAATTTACCCTTGAAACATGGAATTGTTCCGTCGTTTTGACATTTCCATATTGTTTATTCAGTATTAGAATAATAAGATCGATTTACATTGCATTAGTAGGGCCTATAACTTTTTGTCTGAAATAAAAACGAATCTAGAGATACCAGACGGAGACGACTCGGGTGACCACTGACCAGTGCCTTGGCCTTGTGACGACCATGTTCAGTGTCCGAGCTGAGGAGAACGCGAATTTAACCGTGGAATAGGTCGATCTAGATTCTAGATCTAGACCTCCATATATCTGAAAATTTGACGGATTTTTATTGTCTCCAACATTTTGGTGATAGTCACTATCATAGTGGTAGCAGAAGCGGTATAAGTGTTGGCAGGTCTCTGTAGTACTGAGAACAAGTTTGATGATCAAAGAGACGAGTTGAATGTGGATGGAAAGGAGTCAGGAGGAGACAATGTTTTCCCCAGGACATACTGATGATGGTCTTGCGAAGAAAGAACAGTTATGTTGTGAGCCTTTCTGTAGGCCTACACCCAAGGTAGATGAAGACCTAAAGCCCTATGTATTTCCTGTTGTTGTGAAAACTGAACCTAGACCTGGTGCTTCTGGATCTCATTGTAGTAGTAGTAGTAGCAGTGGCAGCATTGATAGAGATGTAAAACCTGACTTTGGAAGTGTGGGGACTGTGGTAATGGAAGAGTTTGATTCTAACTTGATGCTACATCTGGAGGAGGAAAATACTGCT